TGTATACTATATATATTTTTCTTAATTATTTCTTTTAAAAAATCATATGTCAATATTAATTAGCAATGTTCATGGAAGAGTTGAGAGCATCTAAATGTATAATTGAAAGATATAAGTTCGCGATGATATCATTCGCAAAAACTTATCTCATCTGATAACTGAACATCTAAAGTAACAAGGAGAATAAAAGTTCAAGAACAAGGTTTTCAAAATATTATTATTTTGTATTTTTTACTACTTCTTATTGTTATATATTTTATTATTATATTTTTATTTTATGACTCATTATTATATAATTTCTATATCAACAATAAATATATTTGGTAAATGTATTTATATCATTGTATAATTTATTCATTATTTAGTAAATATATAATTTAGTATAATAGAATATTTATTATTTTGTAAAAGTATTCATGTTTTTATTTATTAATTCATATAACTGCAAACGATGCAGTCTCTTGCGGCGAACTTTTACAGGATCGGAGAGTATTTCATATCGCGTTGGTCGAAATGACAGTTTTTGAACAATGTTACGTTTTTATATAGGACAAAGCATGATATATTTACAATGACCATTCTATTTTCATGGAAATCAGGTCGCGCAATCCTTCATCATAAGTCGGAAAGTTTTAATTACGGTACGGATAATGATGACAAACGATGCGTAATACGTATGCGATATCGGTGTCACCGCAAGGAGAGAATATGTTCACAGTCAGCCATTTGCGTGTCTGCTCAGGACAAGACGCATTGATGGTTGATTGATACCCCACCTAGTTCAATATTTATCGAATTGATGCTATGATTGACATCGGGCTTTTGAAAATTTATAGTATGAAGCGGATAAAATTCTCTATTTTTACGCAACACGCGTGGACAATAATGGACGTGAAATAATAATGTCAGCGTATGATGAAATTAGTTCCACTGACGATGAATCAAAAATACTTTCGACAATTCATTTTGCCTAGAAAATTGCGTCAAATTTAATAGAAGATATTAAATTTAACGAAAGAAATAAAAATGTAACTTATAAAATAATGCTGATAAGACAGATTTATCGTTTTAAGATAGAAATAAGATAAAGAAAATCTATGTACAAAAACGGTCTAAATATATACATATAACGCATTGGAAAGCATTTATAATTTCGCGATATAATATTCAATTTAATTCATGTATAACTTATACGTCTAACAAGATATTTTTCATTATGTTAAACTTTTTACAGATCTCTAAAATAAAAAAATAATGAGTTAAGTTGATAATGAATTAACCCGAGAAACTACACAGTCGGGATTTAAGGGAATCCGACGGGAATCGTGGAAACAAGAGCGTACACGCGCGTGTAAATGGGAGAAAGAGGGAATGGCAGGTTTCTTTTCACGATGTTCGTGATAGCTTGTACTCGTGGGCAGTGATTAGGAGCGATGCGTGAAACGTTCGTAACGTTAATGAAAGAAGAGATCGCCAGTACGTGACGTGCCATTCCCACTCGCGGTCAGATCAACCGGAGAATTTTATCCTCTGTAGCGATTGTTCTCACCCGATCCGACGTGACGGCGTTTATTGGATCGATACACGGTCTCTCTTCTTCTCGGCGTTAATAAAAAGCGTCGGCTGATATTACGGGCTGGATGGCGGACTGCGCGGGCTGTTGGCACCTCTTGATAGTATAAAAAATGGTATCCGTGGCCAGCAATGCGGATACGTGACGTGAGTAATTACCAGCAACCGCGTGAACATATACGCAGAGGATGCGATGATGCAATGCATCTACATATTGGTACGAAAAACGTTTCAAAGGCGATCGTTAAGCATCTTTTCTCCCTTATCTAACACACAACAGCATCGCATGAAATTTTATTCTTAACTTTATAAATAAGAGATTCGATACATATTCTTATTATTTTAATGGGCGTGTGATTGCTATCTGAAGGAAGCTTTTGAAAATTAAATTGATAGTTTAAATTTATTAATTAAAGCTCTTTAAAAAAGTTAATTTTGAACAGTTAATTGTAGTTTAATTTATCTAAGCATTTATATAAATGAACACGTAATTTAGAATGTGATTGCATAAAATAAATCTTGAATAAAACGCACTACGTTTGTTATAAGAAAATATTTACAATTTGATTTAATTACAATTTACATACGACAAACATTTCGAGTGAAATACAGAGGGCATATCTCTGATTCACTCACTGGTTACTTTTAGATCGCTAACCGAACAAAATAATGAGAATATAACGACCATGATCTCAACGAGATAAGATTTCTTATCAGTTCAATGTTGAACTTATTCGTTTTTCTTCGAAACTTTACGTAGCATATAGTCCGATTTAGAGAAAACTTTTTTTTTATAAATGCGCCGAAATAAATGCATAAAGGTGTTTTGCGTATGTATGTCGATCAATAATATGTATCAAATTACACAATGATTATAGATATACAATTGTAAAATCATTATTCGATGAAATATTCATCTGACAATTTTTCTGATAATTTTTAATAAAAATTTTATACCTTTATACACATTCAATATAAATATCAGTTAAAAATTTATTTTTTATAGTATTTAAATTAAATCCCTAATAAAAAAAAATACGTATCTTTTTATAAAACCATGAATTATAACGATTCACAAATTAATAGGATTAAACATTGTATTCATTCGTACTTTTTTCATGAAAATTAATTTATAATAGATTCCACTCTGAATTGCATATGAATCTATTGTTTCAATTTTATTACGCATTGTATTATTAACAAATATATTCTCAATAGATTGCATATTGCTCTATTAATAATATCCTATTATGCATTTTATAAATCTTTTATCTAAGACATCAATTATTAATCATTAAAGATTTAAATGCAATATACCTTGCAACAAATCAATTTACTTTTAATAGAGAAAAGAAATTATATGTAAGTATTAAAAAGAACGAAATTAATAATCTTTTGTTGAATCTAACCACTTCCCAGCAGTGTTTAATGTCGCGAATATGAATTTCAAATTTATAATTAGAGTTGAATTTTAAAAAAGATTTTATACTTTCTCAGCAGCTTTCAAAAATTGTCAGTGGTAGAGCGGAAACGCTTTCTGACGTCTACCAGCTATTAAACGATCGTCATTGTCTACATAGGAAAATATTTGTAAGTTATATCTTTCGATGATAGGATAAGCTGTTTGTTAATTTCGTATGATTCGTTCGTTTCAGCCAAGTCTACCACCGGTTCTGCATGTGTAAAAGCTGTAGAGAGCTACTACCGTAGCTACTCACTTAGCTAATTCTTACGGTCTCACGTACCATAAGCTGACGCGGCTGAAAATGATGAGTCTGAGATTCGAGATTACACACGTACCGAGGAACACGTTTCGAGTTATGGCGTTGAATATGAAACGTTCTTTCGCGTTGAATTTATGAAAAGGAATTAATTTGCGCGATATGGTCGACAGAGTTGCGAAGATCAGAAAAAAGTCGCGACGACATTATTATGCGAACAGAAGAAATAAAGTAAAAATAATAATTAATTGTTAAAGCGAAGATATTTACAGAATGATGCTTATAAAGATTTCTGATGATTAATTATGCAACTATCTGAAAAATACTAAATTAAAAATTTCAAAATACACATTTTATGCATGAATGTAAGTATTATATATACATATGCATATATACATGTATCTGTATGTTTATCTGCAGAAAAATACATAAAATAGATAAGATAGATAAAAAATTATAGTGAATAAGTATTTATTTTGCTTACAATGTGACGAGTAAGACTGCTTATATAGTGTAAAAACTTTAAAAAATTGCACAATTCCGCAAAAATTATACACAATGTCTCTTAAACGTTGTTTTTTCGTATGTATTGGTATTATTTAAGTCTGATTAAACACGCATTTACGTCAGAAAACTCTGATATTATTAATGACACGTGTAGTATTTATCAATGGTATTTATGTTATCAGACCCCCAGTGAGTAGCCTTAATATAACGATGAGCTGGAAATGTTTGAAAATATGTAAGTTTCCAGGAAGATAATTATATCACGTGAAACAAAGATGATATTTTTATTAGAGATGACATATTACAGTATTCTATTTTTTATGATATTATATCATAAAATTGATACTTAATAAAAAAATTAGGGATATCCGGTATATACTATATTTCTAGAAAATATATCAATGATAATAAAAGTTTTCAGGATATTCACATAATGACGCGCCTAATTTCAATATAAAATTTCGACCGCATATATTGCCGGAAATCAAATACTAGCCGGTGCATCCTTAATTTTTATTAACTGTCAATTTTATGTCACAATATTATGAAAAATATAATACTGTAATATATTCATCTATATTGTATAATACAAATAAAAAAGCGTCCTTTATCAATACATACATATTAATAAACAGCGCTAATTTTTTTCATCCTGATAAAATATTTAGAAAACCTCATACATTAAAAAATTTTGAAAATATAAATCTGTTTTATTAATTTTCTTATAAGCTATATTATATTCAGTCATTCATGAAATCATTTTGTGTATATTATTTAATAATAATAGCTCTTTTAATCGTAATATTAAATATAAAAATTAGTAATACTTCTTTAAATGTATAAAATATATAATGTGATAATAAAAATAAATTAAAAATTGTAAAATCTTTCAAAGTATAATTATATTTAAGTAATTAGTGCACGTTTCTTCCTCTCTCAGTATCCAAAATAATGAAAATACATCATGCCGAGAAATTTTTACAACTTGCAAGAAAGATGAAATAGAAGACGAAATAGAAATTTTTACAACCTGCAAGAACAAAAAGACAAAACAAATAACCTTACGTAAGCTATTGTCATTGTCGAGATAGAAATCTGAGAGTTAATATGGCGCGATTCTTTGTGGAACGAAGCATGAAAATTGATAACGCGAAGATATAAATACGTTCGGCAAGTATCAGTTGAACAGTATGATTTTAGTCAACGGACAGCTTCTCAATTAGCTTTCTAAGATGAGGATCTTATTTTTTGTGCTTTTGTGTCTTACTTTGGCTGTCTGCAGTCCAATAGGAACTTATCGGAATGAGTTTGCCATGGGTGAACGTCAAGAAAACGATTATCTCATTACTAACAGAACTATTACTAAGGTAAATAACTGATTCGATTGTAATTATTTCATGTACATATTAAATAAAAAAACAGAACAATTCATCTTTTATAATTCAGATTTCAATTATCGAATTTCATAGAAAGCTTTTAAATATTTTAATTTATATATATAAATAATATATCAAATTTTGTAGATATTAAAAATATTGCATTAAGTCTTATCTGGTATGTTTTAAATTTCCTATTTAAATTTAATTAACCTTATATCATATCAATCAATTACATTAATTTACTTAAAACATAAGTATAAAACAAAACATAAATTACACAATGCACTGTTACAATTATTTTATCCATTATTCGTAAATTTTAGTGGTAATATAGTTTTAGATACTTGAATTTTAAATGACCAAATAAAAATATTTCTCACACACAATCTCATAATTTTATGATTAATATCTTATTTATGATCTACTAATATTCTATTTATAAATTGCAGCATTTTCTTTTGAAGCCTATAATCACAGTAGGTGTAACAGCTCCAAACAATGCAATACTCACCCAAATTAAAATCACAAATATCGGAAATCAACGAACTCTATTTATACCGAAAAGATTCAGTTATACAAATATAGCTATAATAATTATTGGAAAATTTGGAGAAGCAATACATGTACGCGTGGAAGGTTATGCAAAAAGTATTTTAACAACTGCTCCAAATATAACTACCACGACACCTAATAATGAAGATAACAGTGCATCTAGTAGCGAAGAAAGTCACAACACATCTGGAACTTCTGAAAATAGTGAAGAAAACAATGGAAATAACGCACCTGATGCCGGGGATAAAAACAACAGTGCATCCAACGCCGAGGATGAAAACAATAGCGCATCCGAAGCAGAGAATAAAAGTAACTCAGCCGAAGATGGCAATAAAGAGAACAGCGTACCCAATGCCGAAGATGAAAATAACAACTCAGCCAAGGATGGCAACGCACCTGATGAAAACAATACCCCTGATGCAGGAGACAAGGATAGAAATAACTCAGTTGAAAATGACAATGAAGGAAACAGTGCATCCAATGCCAAAGATGAAGGAAACAGCGCACAGCCTGATGCAGGAGATAAAAATAACAATTCAGCTGAAAGTGGCAATGAAGAAAACAGTGCACCTGATGCCGGAGATGAAAATAATAACTCGGCCAATGATGGCAATGGAGGAAATAGCGCACCTGATGTAGAAAATGGGAATAACAACTCAACCAAAGATAGCAACAAAGGAAACAACGCACCTGATGCCAAGGATGAGAACAACAGCGCATCCGATGCAGAGGATAGAAATAATAACTCAGCCAAAAATGGCAATGGAGGAAATAGTGCACCCGATTCCAAAGATGCAGGAAACAACGCACCTGATGCCGAGGATGAAAATAACAACTCAGCTAAAGATGAAAACGGAGAAAATAACGCACCTGATACCAAGAATGAGAACAACAGCACAGGAGATAGAAATACCAACTCAGCCAAAGATGACAACGCAGGAAACAGCGCACCTGATGCTGAGGATAAAGACAACAGCACACCCGGAGATGGAAATAACAACCCAATAGAAGATGAAGCTGAAGAAAATACCGCACCTGATGCTAGGGATGAAAATGACAATTCAGCCAAAAGTGAGGATGGAGAAAACAACAATGGAAACAGCATACTTGAAGATGGCGATAGAAGCAATAGCGCATCCGAAAGTAGTGATGGAAACAACACCGTACTCAATGGTGACGATGGAAACAACGCACCCATTCATGGAAATGAAAACAATACGCTTAACAACAGTGGAGACAGCAGCACAGCTAATTATAATGATAGAAACAACAGCGCAACTGATAATAGCAACGACGACAACAACAACGACAACGACAATAGTAATAATTCTGGCAATAACATGTAAATGAGAATTATGGCTTTCGTCGGTGATTACGTTAGATATATTCGAGATGTCAAAATTAAGATACTTATCAATTGAAATTATTGAAAATTTAAGATCGTAAATAATATGTGATAAAGTACCACGCTCAAAAATACAGTCATCAATGTGACTTCTACATTAAAAATTACTTAATAATTTATTAATAATTTTAACTAAAAAAATTCTATAAATGAAAATATCAACTCAGCCGAAGATGGGGACGCAATAAACAGCTCCAATATTGAAAATGAAAATAACAACTTGGTAGAAGGAGGCTGAAAGAGACGCTATCCAGTTTATAACATTCTTTTACAAATATCTAATTTAAAGAATATGCAACATATATATAATATGTATTCATATAAAAATTATGTTATACATTGGATAATATATTATTTGATTAATATGTGTTGATTGTAAGTAATTATAAATAGAATATATAAATATCAGTTATTTTACATTAATCTTTGTACGTTCTTATATCATTCAAGCATTAATATATTAATGTACAATATATAGTATAAAAATTTTTTAAATACTGTCTTTTGAAAGATATGGACAACTTTATGCATTTTAAAGGGACAATAACTAAACTCCGATGAAATCGTTTTACCGATTAAATGTAATTTACATATACATATAATAAAAACATACAATTTACGTCTTTTTTATTTAGTATAAATATTTGATCGTGAGTAAATGTTAAGTACTAATCAAATAATTATTAAAATATAGTACATTTTTTTCTCAGTGTATACTTGACTGACGTATAATTTTTTCTTTTAATATAAATTGCCATAATTTCTCCTCAATATTTCAAAAAATATCTTGATTAGACATGTTTTTTTCTCCTATAAACATGCGTCATTAACTCTGTATTTCTTTCCGTCATTATAAGTTTCCGGAAGGACGTCGCGACACTGCCGAACACGACACTAACGAAATGAGATTATCATCGCGGCTTATGTATTTCAAGAATCATCGGCTCCGTGACATGAAATATAATTTAGCGACTTTGAGAATTCTAAGCACAGACCTTTCGTGGGTAACGCATTTCCACGTGATGCTCCCTCAGCGATGGTTTAGGGGTGCATCGCACGTAAGCCACCGCTGTTACTTGATTCGCTTCATCTTCCACGGTCGGCTTAGAGAGGGATAGAGACTTTATCTTACCACCCCTCTTTTTTTCTTATCCTACCTTCGTAGCTCGAGCTCGTGGAACTCCGCTCGTGAAAATTGTACTTCAATTTAGTAAGATCCGATTTGTATGGATGGTTGCGTCCGCGATATCAGACCGAGGTATCGAGTGCAGAGCGGCGCGGAATTTTGATAGCGTCGATTGCGATAGATAGTATACATATCCATCGTGTCTGTGCATGTTTGGCGCGTATTCAAAAGATTAAAACATTACCATTTGCCTCGTATGACTCTACTCTTTAAGCATGTATTTTATACATAAATATATGTACCTTATATCATCCAAGCATATTCCATGCAGCGAAGCTCTTTCGATTCTTCGCTTATCATGAAAATCATTGTATTTATATATAATACATGAAATGAACTTTAATCGAATTTCATGCAAGCATGATTAAGGACGCAGTATTATTATGCATTCGTAATTTAATGATATTAAATAAATCGCTCCTTTCAAATATGTATAATCAAATACGGATTTCGATGACACATTAAAATATATTTTGTATAAGAAAAAAACAATTTTAAAAGCTAATATTTTTAATTCCTTTTAACTTACGTTAATACATTGTTAAAATTAACATTTTATTTTTAATCAGTAAATCGAGTTACAGAAATTTCAGTCGTTTAATCGTGTGTCATGACATAACGAGTGAGAGAGGATATCTGAGATAGCCTGAGAGTTTACCGACCGCATGAGCTTCCGGACCACGCACATTACTCCAAATACGCACCTGATAATCGTCTCAAACTCCAGCTGTACCGAAACAGATGTGTGCATACACACGCACGTGCGCGTGCACGCGTGACATCTCAACGTTAACGCATATATGCATCGCGGGATTAGTACGTACTCGAAGATAAGGACTCGAATCTCTGTGCTTAATGCTACACTAATTAGCAGCAGTATCGGAATAGGATTATGCGATTAATTTGAGCTCACAGATTTTTGATATCTATATCTTTTTTATCTTCAGAGAGAGAGAGAGAGAGAGAGAGAGAGAGAGAGAGAGAGAGAGAAAGTAAAGTGAGAAATGATCATAAACGAGACTATCGTATCTTTAGATTCAGAGGGGTAAACAATTTCCGCTGGGTGATATCAAGTTTGACTTCCTACAGTGGAAAACATAAATTTCGTAGCTATAAGTTTGATATAATAACGTAATTATAGTGGCAGCATCAATATCTCATTATACATATATCTTTCTCGTTAGTCTATTCATGTAATGCGTTCGCCGTACGCATTGCAAGCGACTTTTCATCACATTAGTATTCCTCCAGCATGATACTTCCACCGATCTCGTGCGATATAGGCATTACTTCCACAAACGATATACTTGAAACGTACTGTATGTCAAACAGAAGGCGTTGCGAGGCTTGATTCATCTTTTTCGCACCCGGCGTAGCGCGGTCTGTAATTCTTCTATACGGCGGAAGCGCATTTATCTGATCTGATGATATCCAGCCTGGACGAGAGTATCTGTAGATACGTTGTACGAAGAAACGAGAGCTACTCCAGTATCATCCTTTCCATATCTTTACTTTATCCTGAAGTAATGATGTCGTATCTTGACATTTCATCACAACGAACAAGAGGACGAGTTAATTGAATGGATGCCATTGACTTGGCTTTTTCCTTGTGATGTATATGCACGGCACAGACTTCTTCGAAAATAAGAAATATCTTAACAAACGAATACATTAGAAAAGTAATGGACAGAGAATAAGTGTACGAAATAAAAAGCAAAAGAATAAACAATAACAAATTAGTGACTAAAATATAACATTTTTATGGAAGATGGAATCATTTTTATTAAATCATATATACATTTTAGTCATTAAACGTTGATCATTATTAGACTTTGTTGAATTTGTTCCGCGAATGTAACATTTGTTATCATTTATTCATATAGAAATATTAGATTCCTCCTCTATTTATTTATGTTATTCATAAACGGTTTAATTTAACTTATTAGTGGAAATGAATGGTTTATAATTTATAACAATATTTATTGTAATTTTTATCTTGATCAATAACTAAATATTTAGATATTTATTTAGAAATAAAATTATATTTAATTTTGAATGTAATAAGCAATTCATTATACTTACATTATCTATTCATATGTCATATATCCGCCTCTATTCTACGAATCACTGTTTGAAAAATCTGTCATTAGTATTCATAATTGATTCTCATTCATTGCGGAGAATGATTGATTTTTCAAGTAAAGTTATAATGCATAGATAGAATTCTTATTTCAGTATCTAATTAATTACTAATTGTAAGGTTGCATTTTAAGGTTGCATCTTTATTCTAGATTTATTTTATATCTAAGATGCCTACCAATTGCACGAACGAATAATACAATTAATTAGTTGTATGAAGATAATAGAATAATCGAAAAGGGAATCTCTCACGACATTCAAATCACGTTAATGATTAATTATCACATATTAGATAGATGAATGTTCAATTAACCAGATAATTAGTAATTATAAGATATAAATTCTTGAAAAGTGACCATTGCAAAATAATCATAGATTCATAGAATTGCAATTAAACCTGAAATAATGATCAATTATGAATACTGAATTCATTTAGGTCATTTAGTATCCATTAATTATTTATTATAAAGACTGTTAAATATCAGCGCAAAAGAGCGCAAATGTTTGTTAAAAAAATATATATCTCTCGGAACGTCAAACAAACACGATAAAATATTTGCATCGATTATACGCATACCAATTTTCTTTCATGAGCAAACTCTAATCTTCAAACGTGTATGCCAGGGAATACCGTTTATATTAAATTCGTAAACTCTGCGAGCCCCGTTCGTGAGAATCCCTGAAAACTTTAGAGACGGCGGCTTTTTAATCTTGCCTTTGCTAACAACCAACTGGATTATTACATTTTCAATTAAATCGCGCCGACAGTCATTTGCATGCTGCCTAATGCATTCGACGTAATATAGTCGTAGGCATGAAACGCACTTTGAGTGTCGCGAATCTTTTATCCACTTATTTTATGCGTAATATATACGGCAAATTTACGAGAAGTAGTGAGACGAGAAAACATTTTAATATTCGCTAATCCGAAGGATTTATTATTAAGTTCGCAAATTAAGTTCGAGACTGTTTGCGAAACGATTCGACGATACGAACTGGAACAATTATACGGGATAAACGATGAACATGTATGTGCGAACTGGTTTGTCGGACGAAAATAGTTGTTCATCACAATTACACGGACGCAAAGCGTAGCGCTACTTTTTGTTCGAATGAAAAATATTAATGAAACCAAACCCCCATCGTTGAACTTTTGCGCTCTTGTACAATGCGTTCCCATCTCGTCGCACGGTTCAATGCGCGAGCTGTCGAACCGAAAGATTTTAATTATTACTGTCGGCTCTCCCCCACGTTCGTACGGTTGAAGCCAGATATAATGACGAAATTAAATAAAACGTCATTCGCGCGCCATGCGATTAATTACTCACCGGCGAAAGAGAGTACCGGGAGAGAAAAAAAAAATGTTTGAGAGGAAAGAACGCGTCGGTTAATTATGATCGTACAAACAGCGCGTACGACCTTTTTACGCTTACGAAGAGAATGGGGTCTCGTTATCATCCATTTAAACGTGAATTTATTATATGCAAGATCGCTACAATATGATCACTTATTGGACGAATCAGGTCGCATCCGCGTTTCCATTAAACCAAATGTACTTGTGGTTAATAATGTATTTGTGTGCGTTGCGCGATCATCCAATCATCATAAATAATATAAAATCTTCATGGAATCGCGCTTTCTCTCTCTCTCTCTCTCTCTCTTTCTCCACAAAAACGCGGATTACACTTGTAAATTACTCGCATAACATGCACTTCTCTTTATTACATTTATTTAAATCGCTTATTTTCAAAATAGCTCAAATGGAATATCGGAGCACATATATTAATAGGCGAGCCTCTGTAAACGATAAATCGTTTAATCCGCGCTGGTTAAATCTTCGATCTGAATAACGAGGGCGACATGTTTATTTTTGATCTCGTCTAATGTCGCGTTCTAATTACGGCCACATAAACTATTCCAC